GAGAGTGGGTTCACATGAAAAACTATTGGCCAGGCTCAATGACGATTCTGATATTTTTGCAAAATCTTGGGGGCAAATTTTTGAATAAAATTTGAACAATGGAAAGCAACTTTTTGTAAATATGGCAGAACTATATATATGGGTATCTTTATTTTGGTTAATTATTATTATACTTTGTGCCCAAGGAATATTTAGAGACACAGCTGATATCTGTATGTCTGATCTTTAAGTTGTTAAAGTTGAAAAATAAAATAAAAATTTTAATTACAAAAGAAAGAAGAGCGCAATATGACACCTTTGGCACACACAAAAATGAAAATAAACACATTAATAAAACAGTACCTCATCAATACAAACAGGTGCATCTAGGTGAAGATCTATGTATTTCCGTGGCCATGTTGAATCTTTTGAATTGGGGCTAATAGGTGCGTGTTCCAGACAAACAAAATGACAATTATTATGAGTTTACAGAAGCGGAAATGAATGACAACCTGCTAAGAGTAAAACAAGCGTAACCAAGAGAAACTACGGAAATTATCTCTCCCAGTGGGACTACTTTAAGTTGATTGGCCATTCACTGATGATTAGATAATAATGGAGAGTTGAGAGGTGAGGGTCAGGAAAAATAACGATTTTTTCCCCATGCACACAAGGCTTACAAGGTTGATGATGGCGTCAGAAGAACATTGTACACTACAGCTGAACCCTACAAAAGAACAGAGTAAATCAGACCCCAATCCCTCCAGACTCGTTGTGACTCATTGAGTTCCTGCAGTTTTGTCCTCTGAATACAATAAGCATGTTTTTCCAAATAGACTGTCGTATACAACCAATGTTGGGTTTATTCAAACCTAGTTTATGGTTAGGAGATAAGAAATATAATAAAACGGATGAGCTAAAAATATGTTAGATTCAGTTTGGTTGATTAGTTTGTCATGCAGTACATGGTGTGTGAATGCTCAAATGTGTGTAAAGGGTAAAAAGGTTCATCGCAGTCCAATGAATATCAATACTTTTCCAATGAATGGTCTGCATGCTAGCGCTGCAAGAAACAAAATAGCTGTTTTATTTGTCGCAATTAGCATATACAGTGCAATTATTATTTAAAGGTCCTTTATTACTAAATAGGGGTGCAACGGTTTGAAAAAATCACGGTTCGGTTCGTACCTCGGTTCAGAGGCCACGGTTCGGTTCATTTTTCGGTTCATTTTTCTAAAAAAAAGTTTTGTCTTTTTAATAAACACAGCTCATGTGGACTCGGCACCTGCTCTGACTGCCCCATCCTGACCTAGAAATTAATTAAGGGGAAGGAAATGGATGGATGGATGGAAGGCATATTCCATCCATCCAATTATGTCTATTTAACATAATCGGTGAAAAACAACACAAAGTGCAACATAAGAAGGCACTTTATGAGGATATTTACCCTCATATATTACACCACCTGATTCTCCCGAGGAGGGGGTCCATTCTGGGCCCAGCCTCATTCACTGCATTTATTTAATTTTTGGCATTATCAATTGTGACTGGAATATTAGTACTGGGCCTTTGTCTTCCATTCCTCTGCTGCTGTGTCAGTACCTGTGCTGTGTGTCAGTACCTGAGCTGTGTGTCAGTACCTGTGCTGTGTGTCAGTACCTGTGCTGTGTGTCAGTACCTGTGCTGTGTGTCAGTACCTGAGCTGTGTGTCAGTACCTGTGCTGTGTGTCAGTACCTGTGCTGTGTGTCAGTACCTGTGCTGTGTCAGTACCTGTGCTGTGTGTCAGTACCTGTGCTGTGTGTCAGTACCTGCGCTGTGTGTCAGTACCTGTGCTGTGTGTCAGTACCTGTGCTGTGTGTCAGTACCTGTGCTGTGTCAGTACGTGTGTCAGCTACCTGTGCTGTGTGTCAGTACCTGTGCTGTGTGTCAGTACCTGTGCTGTGTGTCAGTACCTGTGATGTGTGTCAGTACCTGTGCTGTGTGTCAGTACCTGTGCTGTGTGTCAGTACCTGTGCTGTGTGTCAGTACCTGTGATGTGTGTCAGTACCTGTGCTGTGTGTCAGTACCTGTGCTGTGTCAGTACGTGTGTCAGTACCTGTGCTGTGTGTCAGTACCTGTGATGTGTGTCAGTACCTGTGCTGTGTGTCAGTACCTGTGCTGTGTGTCAGTACCTGTGCTGTGTGTCAGTACCTGTGCTGTGTGTCAGTACCTGTGCTGTGTGTCAGTACCTGCGCTGTGTGTCAGTACCTGTGCTGTGTGTCAGTACCTGTGCTGTGTGTCAGTACCTGTGCTGTGTGTCAGTACCTGTGCTGTGTGTCAGTACCTGTGCTGTGTGCCAGTACCTGTGCTGTGTGTCAGTACCTGTGCTGTGTGTCAGTACCTGTGCTGTGTGTCAGTACCTGTGCTGTGTGACTGTGTGACTGTCGTAGAGGGGGCGTGTCTTCAGCGCCAGACTTTTCATCTCCCAGTCTGCGGTGATGAAGTGAGCGGTTCCGCTCATGGATCTATTATAGGTTCCGCGGGACGTCCGAGCGTCAGTCGTGAGCGCAGCTGAGGATGCGCGGGAGAGTTGACTTTAGCCCGGTCTGACTGTGCGTAAAGGAGACAGTGACAGTTTTGTCGAATATTAATCATCAGTGTAGTTACAGTGAAGCCAAAATGCTCTCATACTGGGGATTTAAATGACGCAGGGCTTTCAAGCTCCTCCGTTACTCTGCTCGCAATGACCGCGCTGTGTGTGGACTGAACAACGTGCGCACAACTTTTTTTTCATAAATCAAACCGCGGATCACGTCTGTACCGAACCGAAGACGTTGAACCGAACGGATCACGGATCAGTGATGAACCGTTGCACCTCTATTACTAAACATCATTACAGAACTATTGGCCTCATGCCCACAATAGTTTTTACATTGATTCCCTCAAGATTTAGTTCGAGAGCGATCTTTCTCTTCCATTCTCAAGAGGCAGAAAAACACCTCGGTTCAATTTGTGACGTGGCACCAAATTGTGACGTGAGAAGGGGATTGATAGGGTGAGAGACTGAAACAGGGAATCAGCGCATGCAGCTTGTGTTAGCATCATGTCAACTTGCAGAAAATGTATTTTTGGGTGTAAATATGTGACGACACTATTTGGCCCTAAAGACAAAGACTGCAGCAAATGTAGCTGAACTTTTTGATCACGGGATCTGAAACCTGTGACTGCTTTTCTGTGAGCGACTTCACCACGGTTACCAGGAAACTAGACTTACTCAAAAGATGATCTTGAAACCTGGTTTTATTCCCACAATAAAAGACGCTAACAAGGAGCATAGATCTGTAAGTACAATAAAACCAACTCGCCACATGCCACTAAATCATTTTGGTCTGCTCACTCGTGAACAAGACCCCAAGATACTTTAACTCCTCCACTTGAGGAAGGACCTCTCCATCCTCCGAGAGTCGACAAACCACCTTTTTCCGGTCAAGCACCATGATCTCGGAAATGGCGCTGATCCTCATCCCAGCCGCATCACAGACCGGTTGTGGAATGCTACCACCAGAAAAAGGTGAAGTTAGTTTTATCTGTCTGTTGTCTTTTTGTGTAACTTTGCTGCCTCTTGGCCAGGACTCCCTTGAAAAAGAGGTTCTTAATCTCAATGGGATTTTTCCTGGTTAGATACAGGTTAAATAATGATAAATACAAAAATTGTTCGCTTTTTTTTATTATTATTATTTTAAAACATCTGGTTGCAGGGACAGACATGTGATTGCTTGAGAAATATCCAAAACTGATTTAAAGGCAGTGCTTTTATTTTCAAGACTAAAAAGTGTGACTTGTGGGGGGAGGTGCTCAGGTGCACTTTGTGTTACTTCATCTCCATTGTGGGTTGTGGGTCTGGTCGAGACCGTAAAATACAGTCAATACTTAAACTGGCAGAATCATGCAGCTCTATTGCCTGCTCATCACCATATTACAAACATATTAATCACTGGTGCTATACCATAACTGTCTTTTTTGGTCATAACATTATCTTCATTTACACTCTGAGGAAAACTTGGGGCAAAACTTGTCTTGAGTGCAAGTGTGGGAGACTGTAAATGAAAGCCTTGGCTTCCAGTCAAGTTTGCATTTGACGCTGGACATCTCATTAAGCAACAAATGTACAAGAGTTAAGCTGAACCTTAAGTGAGACGGCTGCGGTTCATCAGGCCAAAACACTCCAAATACAACACGCACACTCATTTTTTACTAATCATCCAAGCAGCGCCAAAGTGTGGACGTGAAGCGGCCACGACGGGCGGCCTGCAGTGGCACTGATTCACACTTTAATCCAAGAGCAAAGCCAGACATTTAGTTTACCTCAAAAACACAATTAGTAGTGACGCCTCAGGATAATGACAATAAGAAAGGAAGAACTGCACAAGATCTAACGCAAAGATCAGACATAATGTGATTGTGACAAAAGGCTTTCATTTCTCAGCACGTTGTTAAAGGTTATGGCTTTCTTACAAGGACTTTCTGTGGCGGGTCCGTCGGGTGAACTTTTAGAAAATTAATTCAATGATTTCAACACATCACTTCAACACAACACGCGTTCTATCCCATACTGATGGACAAAAAAGGTAAAAATAAAGCTTTTATGTTTTACAGTTGTTTTATAGTTTTTTTTCATACCAGCCTAAGGACACAACTATAGATTCGATTCAATTCAATGTAGTTTAGTGTCGTGCTTTTAACTTTTAACTGCTTTTATTTTTGTGATGTGTTTTGTGTGTTTTTATGGTTTTAATGCATGCATTTTAGGGTTCCCCTAACCCGCACCTGTTTTAATCAAGACCTTTTAATTGGGGGCGGGCACTGCAGGACGGCAGCACAGAGAGAGGAAGAGAGACAGAGCAGAGACAGTCCAAAGGAGGAGGACACGGGACCGGGCCAAGGACGAGCACCGCCAGCCAGAGACCACGGGGCACTGAGGCCAGCGGGGCACTGAGACCACGGGGCACTGAGACCACGGGGCACTGAGACCACGGGGCACTTAGACCACGGGGCACTGAGGCCAGCAGGGCACTGAGGCCAGCAGGGCACTGAGACCACGGGGCACTGAGACCACGGGGCACTGAGACCACGGGGCACTGAGACCACGGGGCACTGAGGCCAGCGGGGCACTGAGGCCAGCGGGGCACTGAGGCCAGCAGGGCACTGAGACCACGGGGCACTGAGACCACGGGGCACTGAGACCACGGGGCACTGAGACCACGGGGCACTGAGACCACGGGGCACTGAGGCCAGCGGGGCACTGAGACCAGCAGGGCACTGAGGCCAGCAGGGCACTGAGACCACGGGGCACTGAGACCACGGGGCACTGAGGCCAGCGGGGCACTGAGGGCAGCGGGGCACTGAGGCCAGCGGGGCACTGAGGCCAGCGGGGAGAGCGGCACCGGTGAGGCGCGCATTGATAGCGCATTGGAGCGTGCGCGCCCGGGCTAGGCCCACAGAGAGACCGGGATGTGCCGGTGCGATTCGTGGTCGGCGAGCAGCTGGCGGGACTGTGGCCCGGTCTCGGGACTGAGAAGAGCGGAGGCCAGAGGAGGAGGAACAAGTGGACTGCGGGTTTTTTTATCATCTTTTATCGATCCTTTTTGTATATATTGAAATTTCTCCACTGTGAGACTAATAAAGGTTTATCTTATCTTATCTTATTAAATTTTATCCCCTTTTTATCCCCTTCTGCTTTTTTATTGATCACACCCCCTCAACAGACACTTTTAAACCTGTGACAAATGCGCAAACACACGAAATTCAACGAGAACAAAAACATGTCCATAAATGTTGTTGAATGTTGAGTGTTCTGGATCATCACCACAGTCCTTTTTGTTAGACCCTCACAAGGCTCGAACAGACCCTCCTGAATCAGCAGGAAACAACTCTAGTGGTCAAAGGTGAGAAACCTCGGGGAGAACCACAGGGATCCGCTCCCACAGACGAACAGGCTGTAGATTCAGGACTCAGGCTACAGAACGGGGACCAAGGCCACACGGCGCAGGTTGTAGAATGATAATGATAATGAAGATGGACCCTTACAGCCGACAGTGACCCACCGTAAGACCTACTTCACGACTCCCACTGATGACTGTTGTTGTGTTCTTGGGCAAGACACTTAACCCCACTTTGCCTGAAGCCCCCACTGAAAGATCTCAGCTCCTGTGGACTCAGCACCTGCAGGAGGATCAGTGAGGGGCTGGTGCTCTGTGACTGGGTGCAGCTCTGACTGCCACCCAGAAATGGATTAAGGGGGAGAAATTGGGCCCTTACAGCTACACAGTGTTACCAAGTTCTCCAATCTTACTCTTCCCTGCTTAGCTTTTGAGTACTGACAGGATCAGCCTTTCACTCGCAGCTGGTGCCACAATACACATGGTATGCAACTTGTCGAGGTGAATACTACACAGGTACTATGGTTGTGTTTTCTACTAACATAGTATGAGTATAGCCCCAACGGATGCAATTCCAATATATTGTCAATCCAACTAATAGTGGTTTGACCAATTATATTGATAGTATTTCCAATCAATGCCATTTTATAGTGATTTATAGTGATTTATCCAGTATAAACTGAGTCATAATCTCTTTTGCTGCCATTGCAAAGAGACTCTGCATGGTTTTATTGGAATAAAATATCTGTGATACAGGAAGGATTTGCTATTGTTGCACAGGTATATTTGCTTAGGAACTTTTAAATTGTGAAATATTATCTTCTGTACAAAATACATACAGTAGGGTAACAAGTATGAAGGGTAAATAATGCTTTCTGCCTGCCCTATCCCTACACCGTATACGGTAGCAGCCTGTTGATGGGCTACATGCGTTACGTTGTTCAGCGTTCCCCGAGGGGGGCGTGACTGTTTACATCTGAGCCCCCTCGGACCCCACCGCACTCCCCCGCCTCCTGCTCACCAGCACCGGGTGAGTACAACGGTGCAAACACTGCTCCCTGTCCGTCTGGCAGTGCATTACCAGTCCAAACACTGAACTGTGTTGACTCCCTTCTGACTCTGGGAGCTAAAGAACAACAAGGGTTTTCACATTTTAGTCCAATTGAGACTGTGTGTGTTCCTCGCACCAGCTCAAAAATGTTTTTAAATTCTAAAAAACGAAATCAAAACAGGACAGCAGTTAGACGGTCCAACTCTGCAAATCTAATTTCTGTTCCCTGTAGAAATCAATCAACCACATTAATCGACTCTGACGTTATTTTTAAACTTGCTATGCTTAATGTCAGATCTCTATGTAACAAATCATTTTTAATTAATAATTTTATCACTTCTTATGATCTTGATTTTATGCTTATGGCTGAAACATGGCTGGACCAAAATACAGGAAATGCAGTTCTAATAGAAGCAACACCACCCAATTTTAAATTCGAATCCGAAGTACGAGAAAACAAAAGGGGGGGAGGCATAGCTGCAGTTTTTAGAGAGCACTTTGTCTCCCATAGAATGCCCCTTGGAAATTTTTCATCGTTTGAGTATATTTCTTTTAAAATGGAACAAAAGCAATCTTCTACTCTTTTCATTGTCCTGTACAGGCCACCACAGTCATGTTGCGATTTTATTGACCATTTTACTGAACTACTTTCATTCGTGTGCACAGATTTTGATAGTTTAGTTATTACAGGTGATTTTAATGTACATGTTGATAATGTTGATGACAGAAATGCAAAGGAGCTGGCTTCTGTACTTGAGACCTTTGGTTTCATTCAGCACGTGAGTGGCCCCACCCACAGCAGGGGGCACACTCTTGACCTGCTAATTACAAAGGGGGTTAATGTATCAAATGTTAATGTAGTTGATGTTGCTTTGTCAGATCATTTCTGTGTATTTTTTGACATGTGTTTTGCTGGTGTAACCCTGTCAATTTTGCCCTCAATAAAGTCCTGAACCGAACTGTAATGCAAACATTTAGAACTAAAGTAAAGTGCAATATCTAGTTCGCCACTAGGTGGCAGCGCACCAAAAAAACATTCTTCTTCTGCTGTTCACTGGCATCCATCTTGTTTTTGAGCACATAAGCAAAAGCCTGAAAAACGTGACCCAGAGCAGAAATATATATTAAGATTTGAGATTGATTTAGAAAACGAAACATATCCTCGAGGTTGAAAAAATATAGAAACTTAGACGACATCTGTTACAAAACAAAGTTATCTCGGTGAGTGAAAACTATAATTTTGTGTTGATTAGCTTGAAGCTAAAATAGTGAAATGACTTAAAAAATATATTTCAACGTTGCAGTGGATTACATTGGATAAAAAACCAGTCTGGCTATCTACAATAGCAGTGGATGTTACCCCACAGGTACATTTTGTTGTATTTTTGTACACTAATGAATGCATTTTGAAGGGAAATGATTTTGTTTTGTGAAAAGAATGCCAATTTTGATTTAATGTGATATACTTTTTGTTACCCAATTCCAGTTTAAAGGTTATAGCATTTAAGTTGTATTATTGAAAATATGGACTTGAAAGATTAAACCAAAGACATTTATTTGAACATTAGTTAATTTTCTGCACGTTTTTGTGTAGACTGGTTTTTTTAGAGGCTTCTTCTGGTCCTGGTGTTCCATCCTCTGAAGCTGGATTCCTCTCTGTTCGCCCTGGTGCCTGGTTCCCTGGTCCACTGCCTCATCTAACAGTGTGCTGCAACGGTCCAATCGGGTTGTGTGATATGGACGCTAAGTAAGGGGTGGTTGGACAATTAAAATTTGAGTGCACTCAAGGGTAACTATATTTTGACAGATTTTCTTTTTGTTTTTTTCGGTTCATGAGATTTCAAAAGAATGTGTGGCCGATTTGTACACCAAATGTCATATTTTTGTGTTCTGAACTAAATATTGAATTTTGGATAAGGAAATAAGGAAACTTTTGAATAAGACCCACATTACTTAACTCTTTAATCTGTTGTCCTGTGCTTCATTCGGAGTGGAATGGTCTTCTGACCTTATGATTAGTACAACACCAACCTCTTCATCGTACCTAGATTTTTGATAACGCCTACCATAGATTATTAGCCTGCCTACAAGCAGAATTTCCACCGTAGGGTTACAATTGTGGCGAGCCAGCCAGGAGGTTGGTACAGTGTGTAAAATAGACTCCACCCCAAAGTTGAAGTACGCGAAGATTGCAATTACTGCAAAATGGATCTTTGTAATCAGTTTAATGTGCATGGGCCTAGTTGTCTGTATGTCACAGGCATAGACGAAGCCTATTCTGATGATGACATTACAGAGTTCTTTAAAGTTAATGGGGACATTAAGAAAGTAGTCAGAGTTCCCGACGACCCAGAACAACCCCAAGGCCGTGCACTCATTGAATACGCAGCAGAGCGAACAATATCCAGACTCGACCCAGTGCAACTAGGTAGTCTGCCCAGTCCTAATGATTCAGTAGTTACCTGGTATGTCAAAACAGTCCGTGAACTATGCCAAGAAGAACTCGGACGAGAACTCGCTCAGAAATGTTTAGCTGAATTGAACTCTCTTGCTGGAATCAGTAAAGCTGGGTTTTGGGAGACACTACAAAGTGAACTGCAGAGTGCCCTGCCCCAGGCAGAACTTGCCCCTCCACAAAGCCCAGATACTCAGCTACAGCCCTCTGAAAATTCTGTTGCTGTCTCCACAAATGACAACAGTGCAGATGGTGTTGTGCAAATCAACAATAATAGTGCAAATCCATTTGATGCAATCCCCCGTGACGTCCCAACTGCTGCTACAAGGAATCCATTTCTTGATGAAGGTACAGTTAACCCACCTCATGTCCAAAAAGTCATTGTTGAGCATTTCATTCGCAGTGACTCCACACCGTCTAGCTACAGTCAAAGTAGGATCCGCACATTCTCTGGACGACTGCCGAAACCAAACGGAGAAGTTGATTATGACTCCTGGCGTACTCAGGTAGACCTACTTCTTAATGATGCGTCTGTCTCTGATTCACAGAAAGTAAGGAGAATATTGGAAAGCCTCCTCAGCCCAGCAGCGGACATTGTTAAGCCCCTTGGGACAAATGCAACCCCTCAAGCTTATCTCACCCAGCTCGAGTCAGCATTTGGAGTGGTCGAAGATGGAGAGGAGCTATTTGCGACCTTCCTGGGCTCTAACCAAAACGCAGGTGAAAAACCCTCTGTCTATTTGGGCCGCCTCCAGACTCTCCTTACCAAAGCCGTAACCAGAGGGGGAGTTGCAGCTGCAGAGTCTGACAAGTACTTACTCCGGCAGTTCTGTAGGGGATGCTGGGACCAGAGTCTGATCATTGGCCTGCAGCTTGAACACAGGAAACCCAATCCCCCCTCATTCCCAGAATTGTTGTTGCTTTTGAGAACGGAGGAGGACAGGAGAGCAGCAAAGATGGATCGCATGAAAAAGCACCTTGGAAGCACGAAAGCTGCTGCACATGTTCATTCAGTTATGAGCATG